TGATGGCCTTCTGGACAGCAGTCAGGTCAGCAGTCTTACCCATGATTGTGGTTTTGAGTAATGAACCAGGCTGGGAGTTTTTAAAAGCCTCTGGAATCTTTTGCAGGTGTTTAGTTAATTTGTTGATTCAGATGATTAGGTTAATAAGTCATTTAGAGAACCTTTTCATGATATGCTATTTTTTTGAGATAGGGATTTTTGGTTTTTCTTTACTTTTTGCCAAGATCATCCATATTAAAACAATAAAAGGCTTGAACTACTTCAGTTGGTGTGCAATGAATCTAAAATATATGAAAGTTTAATGTTTATTGTACATTACAGAAAATAATGAACTTTATCACAATATACTAATTTTTTGAGAAGGACATGTATTCTATTCTAAATACTTTCCCCCCCACTGGACATATTTTAGTTTTAATATTGTTTAATTCTAAGAACTAAAGACACAAACAGCCAATTACCAAGACAGGCTCCCGAAGCCTCAGCGGCTAACCAACTTTTTGCACACCTGTCTCACTTTCTCCCAGTGAACACGCAACTATTGTTGTTTGGGTCACTGTTATAAAGTCATCAGACTTCTTTCTGCCTGCTCCTCTCTGCTGCCCCTTGTTCCAGTTAGCATTCATCTGCACAGCTTCTCTCTCTCAAGTGGAGGAATCAGTAAACATTCTGCTGGTTTTTCTTCTCAGACAGCTGGATTTTAAAAATTCTGTCWGCTTCGATGTTGTTTCCAGTTCTTTTTCAAACTTGTTCTAACAAARAAATTMATTTAATTTGAGCACCGCTCTACTCTGGCTGGATCTGAATCAATGTATTGCTGATATCTAAGTCACTTGATTTCTGATTGGCTAGAAGGCTTGTCTAATGAGTTTAAAGTTAAAGTTACATTTCTCTGGACCTCTGATAGGTCCAGAGAAATGTTAAATAATGTTAAATATTTGGCTGGGCAAACCTGATTTTTTATTTATTTTCCTATGAGATAAGTATTTCAGCATGGTGCCAAAATACTATTAATCCTGCAATTTATTTTGATAAAGTTCCAAATCAACTCTTAGTTTATGCTGTTCAGGCCCTATCACAATGRATGACAACCTCTACATGGTGTAAATATCAACTAGAACTTAGATGGTCCTTGCAAGGTTATGACAAGGTCTTCAGGGGCACATTAAGAAAGCAATGGTCTCCCCTTTAATTGTAATGGTTCCACTATGTTTTTAGTGTGCACAATTCTTTTGTAGCAATGTTATTGTGGTTTATACCCATGGTGCCAGTGTATTAAGACCTTGGGTGGAGCGTGAGGCAATGTGGTGTCAGCAGTTGCAGAGGGTCCATAACATGGGTTCATACACGCACGGGCATCATTTTCTTTGAAGCAGCACAGGTCACATGTCTAGAGGACAACAGTGATTGTGRCAAGGTCACATGAATATTTGGCAGAGATCCCTGAAGAATACTGAGTATAACAGCATTCCCAAATTAAGTTTTTTTAAATGAGCATCTACCCAACTAATAGGTTGTGTCAGTTGTAGAGAGACCACAATCATTATCGTATGTGAAGAGGGTCTTACCACCTGACAAGAGTCTGGACACAAACATTAGTCAGTGAGTTATCCTTTCTTGAAGATATACAATTCCTCCTAACTTAATGTAAGAATAACTTAACTGTTTAATGAWCTGCTCACTGACCTGTCACTGATTTATGACTGGGAGCTCCATCTGGTATGCAACAGTTCATTTGTTTCCCACTCTGCACTGTTGGTGAATTAATAAAGCGTGGTGGAGTGGTTGTCATTGGAGGTGGAGTTTCCGTGGGTAAAAGCTGGCCTGYTGATGAGAAAAAGGTTGCTAAAATATTAAATAGAGAAGTGGCCTTTTGCCTTTGTGATTAAAATAATAATAATAATAAATTTTATGACAGTATCCACAATTTTTGCATGATGCTTGTGTGATGCTGGTATTGGATTAGAATTGAACCAACCATTGCAGCCTGTTGTTAGGTTTTCCTCCAGRTCACTTCCATCCCCACAATTGTCGATACCTTTGTCATCACATACTAGACTTACAGGGATGCACTTCCCATTCCTGCAAGCAAAGTAGGGCTCACTACTGCACTCTGACTGGTTGAAACCTAAATAACAATGAGAGAAAAAAAAATTTAAACTTATGTTTGACTTATATACTCTRTTTGTTAGAATGTAGTAGACACAAAGTTCATATTGTCACAATTGTATTTTCAAGCCTTTCTACCCAACATTTGAATTTGTTTCAGCAATGACCATATATTTTTGGAACATTGTCAATGATTTACTTACCCAGTCTGAAAGCGGTAAAGTCTCCCACAAAGTCAACCCTGGGCTGAGTCCCGCGGGTCACCAGTCTCAGGGTTAGGTAGTTTCCTGTGGACAGCACTGGCCGGGGTGGGCTCTTGCCACAAAGAGGAGGCCCAAGGATAGGAGAGCTCCTGTCTGGTCCATCATAGAACTGAATATATGAACCAGCATGACAAAGGTCTCCTGAACTTTCACCAGATGTGAGTTCCAATCGAGGGTTGGGAAAGACAGAGCCATGCGAAGACTCTGGAAAGAGGGGGGCGGGACTGAGAGGAGCCATTCTGAGCAAGGTGTAAACCAAGAAGAAGCGAAAGTAAAACTGAACCTTGTCTTTAGGGGATCTGGCCTGCATGGTGAGATGACAGTCAGTCCCTATGTCCACAAAGTAGTATTTCTTGGATTGTTGATGTGAATTGACGATCATGCCATCGCCCTGGATTGTCTGGCCACAGAAATCCACCACCGTCACTGCCAAGGAAATACAAAACTCAACAGTCATTGAGCTGCACAAGTAAAAAACACAACCTTTAAAACAGTGTATACTGTATAGGTCATACTTTTGTTAAAAAAAACACAGGTTTTGAAACAATTCTTACTGAGGAATTTTGCAAGGCTACAATGCTTAACAAGTATACAACACATAATATATATTTATCCATGTAAAAAAAAACATTGCTTTGTTATTGCTGTTATTCCGCTGTTTCTGTGCCAGCAAACTGGAGGTGTGATGATTGCTGTCTATAATGGGTAATATACAGATTAGGCAAGTGAACTTTATACAGCTCATTTTCAAAACAACTCAGGGTTTCCTGCAGCGCATTGTAAGATTGGTGGGTTGCCAGGCTTTACATGCCTCCTTGCCTTCGTTCGTTTTCTCCGAGCGTACGTCACCCACGAAGCATGCACTAAAAATAGTACGCACAATCAATGAGCCGTGAAGCTAAATAGCTATTGTAATGCCTCTCAGTGTAAAAAAAAACTGTCATCTGTGAACTCTTTAGAGTTCAATAATATGTTTTTTTCAAAAGGCAACAAGAGATGCTGTTACAGCTGCAACTCGCTGGACTGACAGAAAAACAAAGAGCTCCTCCGACTGCTCACTGTCCCAACCAGGCTCACACACAACTAGTGCCTCCTCCCTCTAGAACAGATATCATAGATTTACCTCTCATTTCAGTCACTGGGATAAAGTTTTTTTATGATTGTTTTTTTATTACAAAACACATATTGTACAAGAGTTAGAGTTTTGATTAGGTTTTGCAAAGAAAATGATTAGTATAAAGCGGGCACGATTTAAAGATTTTATAGTTAATAGTTTCTTTTGATAACATTACAGTTGATAATTAATAATAGACAATATATATA